GGGGGGGGGAGCTGATTAATCTCTGATTTCTTAGTTACTCAACATTGAAAGAGTTGTTTTTTCATCGCCTCATTAGGTCTTCTGGATCGAGATCTTCTGCCCATTAATTTTCGCAAGCTAATTTCGGTTGCTAAAAATACCACGTTGTCAAGTCGGATTGATCAAGACGATAAGGACGATGAGATGGATGAATTGGCTAAAAACATTAGTCGTTTGAGTTTGCGCCAAAATCCGTCTGAATCTCATGAACCCTTGAGCATTATGTCTCAGGCAAATCTTCTTCTTACCCCCCTGACTGGCGATATCTTCACGAACGATTCAATTCTCAATGATCCATTCATTGAGCAATACTCAACTCCTGTAAAGACTGAAACCACTGCTAATATTCTTCCTGAAGCAAGTTGTATAGATGATTTTGAAGAGGAATTGCCCCCAGGAATCGTGTTGTGTGAATCAACACCACTGGAAAGAAATGCACCCCATGCATCCAAGGCGAAGGATAAGCCACTTTCGCCATCTCAATTGGAGAATTATCAAAAGACCCCTCCTCATTCACAAGCCAATCTCATGGATGTGTACGATAACCACATTATCGATGAGGAATTACCGATGGAAAAGAGAGGAAAAAGGAAGAAGGGACCATCGAATACATCTCGTTTTTATCAAATACACGTGAGTTTAATTGATATGACTACGACTTTGCTATAGTCCTTGTTTTGTCCATATCTGTAGGATATCTGTTAGAGTAAGTGAACTCTCTCTCCTCTCTCTGTCGATATTTGTTTCTTTTTCATGGCATTGCATAGCATTATAGTGATTTTTTGAATTTCGCCTGATTGGCTGACGCTCATTTTGGGCATTTTTCTTCATCTGTTTGTCCTTCACAGTCCCCCCGCCCCCTCTTTCAGTTTTAGACGATTTTTGAACTGCCAGGCATCTCAATCCTATTCTGCTTCGGACTGGTTAATCAACGGCCTAGATATTGCTCAAATACACGATGTGATTCGTGTTTGTATTTGAGTTACTGGGAAAAAATTTACGGGTCTATTAATGGTTTATTTATTTGTTTATATCAAATGGTTGGAGTTTTGATAGTTATCATTAGCCCTTTAGTTGACTTCA